GTTTGTTTTTTTTTATTTTTAAATATTTATTAAATACTATAAACGACATTTATTTATTATTTTTTAAATGCTAAGATGTTTGAGTTTTTTTTAATAAATTTTATAATTTTTTTGTTATAAATTTGAAGTTTGTTCTAGAAAATGTTTTTTTTTTTTATATTTTAAGAGAAAAATTCTAGTTTTAACCTCTAGAATTTTAGTTTTATGTAAAAGTGTTATTTTTTAATGAAGTGTAAATATTCGCAAAGTTTTTTATTTTATTTTTTATATAGAAAAAGTTTTTAGTTTAAACTACAGAAAAGGAGCAGAAGTCTAGCTGCTATGTTTAAAACTTTATAACTTGAAAACTATACAAGTTATTTTAATAATTATTTATGTTAAATGAAATTCTAAGAAAGAAACTTTCATATAATAAACAAATTTTCTAAATTTTTTTTAAATTCTAGTCGGAATTTTAAGTCCAATTTCTGTAGTTTTAATTAAAAATCTCTTCTTTTCTTTTAACTTTATATTACTTTCTATGTAAGTTTTCTGTAAATTGTATGAAAAAGTTATTTTTATAGTTTTATTTTTCTGTTATATATATATAAAATTGTTTATAAATATTTAGTTAATTATTATTATTTTTGTTTTCTATTACAGTTATTATTTTCAATTTAAAGTCCAACAATTAAAGTAAATATGTTGAATATTTATTATTTATTTGAATACATTTTATTTTTGGAAAAATGTTAATGAGTTTTTGTGTTTTTGAGAGAAGTTTGAATAAGTGGGCGAGTTATTTTTTCTCGTTAAAATGGGGGTTTCTGAGTTATAATGTGATTTGAAATGTTAAGCGGTCGAGTTTTGAATGAAATAAGGTACAAATTAAGCCAATAAGCAGAGATATTACTTAAATTTTGAAAGTCCTAGAAACTTTGAAAAAATACCATAGTTTGCCTTAGGCTCGCAGGACTATTTTGAAGAACTTAATAGAATATGAACTTTTAAGTAGTTATTCTATTAATTAATTTCATTTTTGAGGTTTTAAATGAAAATTTAGTTTTTTTACTTTGAGATTTTGTCAACAATAGTAGAATTACTATATTTTTCTTAAGTTCGAAGGACCAATTTTAAAACAATCGAACTTTTTCTAAAAATTTCTATAATTTTACTAATGAGTCTTTGATATACAAAGTTATTCCACTAAATTTAAACTATATATATCAAAAATTATAAATTAAAGCCAATTATCATATTAGGCTTAAGTTAGAAGGACCATTTTTAAAGGAAAATTGAAAAATTTGAGTTTCATAAAAGAAATATGAACTATTTTGCAGTAATTCTATTAATTAGATGAATTATGTTTGATTTTTTTGGACTTAAATGAAAATTTAGTCTCTTTCCTTTAAAATGTTTTAATCCAGAGCAAAATTATCATATTTTCTACAAGTTCGAAGGACCATTTTTAAAACATTCAATTTATATGGAAAAATCTATATGCTAATGAGTATTTTATTTATAAAGTTATTCGATTAAATTTAAACTATATAAATCAAAAATTATGAATTAAAGCCAATTAGCACATTATGCTTAAGTTCGAAGGACCATTTTTAAAGGTAATTTGAAAAATTAGAGTTTCATAGAAGAAATATGAAATATTTTGAAGTAATTCTATTAATTGAAAGATTTATGTTTGGGTTATGAGGTGTCAAATGTAAATTTAGTTTCATTACTATGATATTTGGTCAAAAGTAGTAGAATTACTATATTTTCCATAAGTTCGAAGGACCATTTTTAAAACATTCGAACCATTTAGAAACATTTCTATAGTTTGACTAATGACAGTTTAATTTAAAAAGTTATTCGAGTAATTTTAACTATTTAAACCGAAAATTATGTATTAAAACCAATTTTCAAATAAGACTTAAGTTCGAAGGACCATATTCCTAAATGAATTAATAGAATATGAACTAATCTTTAGTAATTTTGATTACTAAGGGATTAACATTTGATTCTTGAGATATTAAACGTCAATTTAGTCTCTTTACTTTAACAGTTTGTAAATAATAGCAAAACTATTATGTTTGTCACAAGTTCGAAGGACCATTTTTAAAACATTCAAACTATTTGGAAAAAGTCTATACTTTTACTAATGAGTGTTTGATTTGCAATGTAATTCGGGTAAATTAAAACAATATTAATCAAACATTAGGAATTAAAACCAATTAGCACATTATGCTTAAGTTCGAAGGACCATTTTTAAAGATTGTTTGAAAACCTAGAGTTTTATAGAAGAAATTAATAGAATTTAAACTATTTTGCAGTAATTCTATTAATTGGAAGATTTATGTTTGTAAAATTATTAAATTTTTCTTCAGTTCGAAGGACCAATTTTAAAACATTCGAACTGTTTGGAAAAAAATTCCATACTTTTACTAATGAGTGTTTGATTTATAAAGATATTTGAGTATTTTAATCGATATAAATAAAAAATTATCAATTAAAACCTATTAGCATATTAGTCTTAAGTTCGAAGGACCATTTTCAAAGATAATTTGATTTATATTTGAAGGGCTCGTAGTACCATTTTCTTCTGCTTATTGGACTTAAACTTCCTCTGTATATTAGCTTGTTTTTATTACTATTGTGATATTTATGATAACTGAGCTTTTTCTTTACTACAATCTTTTACTTTTATATATCGTTTAATAACATCTAAACAATTATACATATACTTTACTTTGAGCCTTGTTTTACAAATACTGTTTTAATAATAATTTTTAATAAATTTCTTTATATATTAATGCGGGATTTTTTCATAATTGTTTGCAAACTCTGGCAACTACTTTTACTTTTTGTTTGTTTTTTTTTTATTGTTAATAACTTTTTGCTTATATAAATTACTTTGAAAACGGAGTTTATAAACTTTAGAAAATTTAATTCTGATTTGGAACTGATTTTCCTTGGGTTTTATAATCATAGTTTTCAAATACTTCTTTTCTCCTTTATTATTTCTATACTAAATTGTGCTTTCTCTTTCGGCTTTGATTTCAATGAAAATTTTTGTAAATATTTATATTTTATAATTTTAATATTATTTTAACATTTTTAAGTGTTTTAAAGAGTTAATGGGTTTCTATTAAGCATATGAAGTTTTTTTGTTTAAATTTTTACTATAAATATGAAATGTTTCTTGTTTTTTGTTTAATATTTATTTTTTTTTTTATAAAGATTTTAACAAAAAAGTATATATAGAGGGATTTCAATAAATAAATAACAAATATTTTGTATTATTTATTAAATAAATAAATATATTTTCTTTTATAATAAAAACATAAAAATTACAATTTTAAGCTACAAAATTTAGTTTAATTTTTATTATAATATAAATTACCTTAAGCTATCATTTTAAAGTAATTGTTTAAACACTCACTTTAAACTGATAACTTTTTAAATTAAACCAAATTGTGTAGTTTTGTGTTAAATTGTTTTCTTTTAATAAAAAAAATTATTTGTAAAAGCAGGTAAATAGTTACAAATTTTTAAGGTTTCCATTTTTGGGTTTTACGTTATTTGTGGGATTTTGTTTTTCGTTTTTATTAATATTTTTTAACAAAATTTTACTAACAATTTGTTTTCTTTTTGATTTTTTTTTATTTGGTTATGTTAAATATTTATTTAATTTTAAATAAACTTTGTTTTTATTTTCAATAACAAAATATTAAAAATAATTTGTTAAATGTTTGGCCATATGTTAAGAAAGTTGGTGTTTAAATAAATTTTTCCTATAATTTATGAAAAATTGTTTAATAAATATTATAAAAGTGAATTGTTTAATAGATAGGAAACTTATAGAACAAGAATTGAAAAAAATTTTATTAAAAATTTAAATTTTGTTTCAAACATTTTAAAGTCTAATGCAAAAATCTGAAGTTTAAAAGCTTTCAATTCAGATTGTTTGATTTATAACAATTTTGTAAGTAATAGGAGAATTATTATATTAGCCACAAGTTCGAAGGACCATTTTTAAAGTATTCGGAATATTTGAAGAAAAATTTAATACTTTTACTAATAAGTGCTAAATTTACAAAGTTATTGAAGTAATTTTAAATGATATTAATCAAAAATTATCAATTAATTCCAATTATCATATTTGGCTTAAGTTCGAAGGACCATTTTGAAAGGCAATTTAAAAAAATTATTGTTTCATAGAATAAATGCAAACTATTTTGTAGTAATTCTATTAATTCGAAGATTTACAATTGATTTCTTTGGTCTTAAATGTAAATTTAGTATTTTTACTTTTACATTTTGAAAATAATAGTAAGTTCGAAGGACCATTTTCAAAATATTTGAACTATTTAGAAAAAATTCTATACTTTTACTTATGAGTGCTTTATTTACAACCATATTCGACTTAATTTATACTATAGAAATCATAAATTATGAATTAAAGCCAATTATTGTATTAGGCTTAAGTTTGAAGGACCATTTTGTAAGGCAATTTGAAAAATTAGTTTTACATAGAAGAAATACGAACTATTTTGTAGTAATTCTATTAATTGGAAGAATTATGTTCGATTTTTGAGGTCTCAAATATATATTTAGTCTCTTTCCTTCAAGTGTTTTTAATTCATAGCAAAATTATTGTAGTTTCTACAAGTTCGAAGGACCATTTCGATTTATAAGGTGAAAAACTCTATATTTTTACTAATGAGTATTTGATTTATAAAATTATTCGATTAAATTTAAACTATAGAAAACAAAAATTATGAATTAAAGTCTATTAGCATGTCAGGCTAAAGTTCGTAGGACCATTTCAGAAATACTAGAGTTTCTTAGAAGAAATTAGTGGAATACAAACTGTTTTACAGTAATTCTAATTATTGAGGGATTTATATTTATTTCTTTAGATCTTAAATGTTTATTTTGTCTCTTTATATCACGAATTTGTAAGTCATAGCTAAATTAGTATATTTTCTACAAGTTCGAACGAAGGACCATTTTAAAACATTAGAACTATTTAGAAAAAATTCTATACTTTTACTAATGAATGTTTGATTTATAAAGTTATTTGTGTAATTTATCATATTAGGCTTAAGTTCGAAGGACCATTTTGAAAGGAAATTTGAAAAAAATAGGGTTTTATAGAATTCTATTAATTAGAAGATTTATGTTTGATTTTTGAGGTCTCAAATATAAATTTGTAAATCATACCAAAATGATTACAATTTCTACAAGTTCGAAGGACCATTTTTAAAGCATTCCAACTATTTGTTAAAATGTTTATACTTTTACTAATAAGTGCTTGATTTACAAAGATATTTAAGTGAATTTAAACTTTAGAAATCGAAAATTTGTGAATTAAAGTTTTTCAAGTTATGCGTTTGTTTAGGTTAGGTTTTAATAGTTTAACTTTATGGGCTCGTAGGACCATTTTCTTTTGCTTATAGAGTGTATGTTTGTTCTGTAACTAGGTTTCGTTGATTAGGGTTATTTTGAAAAAGTTCTATAATTATTTTAACAATGTTAACTTTAGCTAATAGTAGTCCTTCGATTTAGCAGTTGAAACTGTTTTGAATTAATTTCTCTTAATCAGTTCGCGCTCGTTTATTTATTTTAACTTTGTTTAAAACAATATTTCAAAAGTTCCTCAAACTTTTTTACAAATTCTTTAAAAATATTGGCTGTAATTTACTATTTAAGTGAAAATCCATATTTCTTACTTAAGAATGGTCCTTCGAGTCTGTCTTTTTATTTTAATTTATTTAAAAACTATTTTTTTGTTACTTTTTTAACGTTACATATGCAGAGTAACAAGCACAAAAGTTAAACTGTATCTAAATTGAGATTAAAAATGGTCCTTCGAACCTTAACATTATTATGGAAGAAATAACTTTCGTTGTATTTCATTAGCACTAGATAACCATTTAATGTAGCTGTGAATACAAAATTACGCTTTACATCGAGACAAATTTTAATTTTGACTTGGAACACCGGTTTCCTATATACGTGAAAGAGTTAATAATGGTCCTTCGTAAAGGCAGTTTCTATAATTTACTTTTTTCCAAAGATTTTTATATTTTTTTTCAATTTTGTATATAATTTTTATTAACTATTTTTCGTGGTAATCTAAAGTTTAAAGGTTCGAAGGACCATTTTCCTTGAAACCTTTAGACTGAAAGTGTTTTTAAGTAATTTGTTTAAAATCTGTCGTTATATTTCTTTAGTCATAAAAAGAAATAGTTCTACAAACCTTTAAACTAAAACTGTTTAAATATACCTAAAGAAATGGTCCTACGAACCTTAATACTGAAAAGGTTTAGTATAAATTTCGTTAGTCCTTCAAACCTTCAGACTAAACTTGTTTTAAGCATTTCCTTTTCTATTAAGCAAATGGTCCTTCCAACCGTTTAATTCATTTTAAATTTAAACAATTCACTTTTATTTTGTTATATATAAAATAAAATTATTTTCTCTCTTTTTCTTTTTTTGTTCATTCACAAGTAAAATTCTTAACAATTATTTCTTTCAAATTTCTTTTTCTTGGATTTTTTGGGGATTTTGTTTTGTGCGCGTATTTCTTTTCAACTATTTCTTTATATTATTGTGTTTATTATCACCCAAATTTTGTTAATATAATTGTGCTTTCATTTTGAACTTGTGGAATGTTTTATTAGTTTTAATTTTTTCATAAAAAAATATATATAAAAAAAATTTGTAATTTAAAAAAAATAAAATTTGGCATTTTAGTAAATTATTGCAAACAAGCGGAAGACTTAAAAAAGAAGATTTTATTTAACAATAAATTAGAAACAATTAAAGTAGTTAGGGAGGCTTGAAATTAGATTAATGGCAGATAGAAGATTTTCTTTTAAATTAAGTTTTAATTTAGTTTAGATTTGCAGCTTGAAAACTTATAAAATGAAGTTTAAGTTAGTTATTAAATTGTAATTAGTTTATGAAAAACTGTTTAAATTAAATGAGTTTTTTTTGTGTGAAAAGTTTTAATTTGAAAATTTTTAGATTTCTATTTATTACTTTACTTTCCTTATTAAATGCTTTAGGTGGTGAAATTTGAGTCTGTATGTCTAGTGTGGTGATTTTTTAAAAATTAACTTTATTTTACTTTTTTCTTAGATTTTTTTTTATTTTATTAAAAAATTAACTTATAATTTCTTATAAAAAAATTGCTTGTTTTTTTGTTTTATTAATTTATTAATTAGTCTTCCTTAAGGCTTAAATAATTTAAACAAAATTTGTGTGTGTTTCTTAACTTTTCTTTGAGTGTATTTTCTAAAGTAAGTGGCTTTCTGTTTAAAAAATTATTAAATTTATTCAAAATCTAAAGTTTAGTTTAAAGTTTTTCACTTAAAACTTATTAAAGTAATTTTGGTTATTTACTTTAAATTTGTTTTTTTCTTCTGGAGAAAATTAACTAATAAATTTAAGTTTAAGAACATTTTTTCGGAGTGAATTGGTGGAAACTATAAAGAAAAGTTTTCACTTAAAGTTTTGAACATTTTTTGAAATATATTTTGTTCGATCTTTTTAAACTGAAAACATATTCCCGGATTTAGCTGAGAACTTTCTTATTATTAAAGATTTCCTAATGATTTATTTCTTATTTTTAAAGAAAATTTAATTAATTAAACCAGGAAATATATTGTTTTATTATTTACAAAGAAATTGCTTATGATTTGCAGGTTTTTTTACTTATTTTCTTAAGAAAACAAAAGTATTACGAGATTCTAGTCCAAAAAATATTTAAAAATTTTCCAAAGTTGGTTTTAAAAACTAAAATCATTTCCCAAAAAGGGAAATTTTTGTTCAAAACATTTCTTTTTCAATTATATTATCATTAATTCTCTTTTTATCCTAGTTTATATTTAAGCTGTTGTTTTTGCTGCTGTTGTTGTTGTTGTTTTTTCCTTAAAGAATATGGTTAGTATTTTTCATCATCAGATATTTCCCTTTGGGAATTCTGTAATTCTCAGGCTTTATACTGATGACTTCTGACGGCACAGCATAAACTTAAAGAGAAAGTCAAAGCCAATAATTCCAATAAAATAACACCAGCCGTTATGCCAAAGATTAAGACCCAGTTATCGTATATGAAATCGATTAGTTTATCCACACAACCCTGTTTTGTAGGTAGAAAAAAGTTATCAAATTATTAAAATTTAAAATCATTTCTTCTTACCTGTTGGTGTATGGCGGCATTAAGAGCTCCTCCAAATTTCAATTTTCTAGACATTTCACAAACATTTTCCTTGAGTTCATCTTTACAGCAGGATTCTGGTATATTGTAGAAGACATTCATCGAAGAAATAGCAATATCCACAATATTTGTACGATCTACATTGTTAAAACGACTAGTGGCCCAATCACCGGGACCATCAGCACCACAGCATTTGAGCTGAAAAGATAAACAATAAATATTTAAAATCTTTTATTCCAGAGAGTAGTAAAACAAATTTCTGAAACAGGAACAGGTCTAGACTAGACTACATATTACAATATAAGAGACTATAGACTAGACTATAGACTAGACTATAGACTAGACTATATACTAGACTATAGACTAGACTATAGATTAGACTATAGACTAGACTATAGACTAGACTATAGACTAGACTATAGACTAGACTATAGACTAGACTATAGACTAGACTATAGACTAGACTATAGACTAGACTATAGACTAGACTATAGACTAGACTATAGACTAGACTATAGACTAGACTATAGACTAGACTATAGACTAGACTATAGACTAGACTATAGACTAGACTATAGACTAGACTATAGACTAGACTATAGACTAGACTATAGACTAGACTATAGACTAGACTATAGACTAGACTATAGACTAGACTATAGACTAGACTATAGACTAGACTATAGACTATACGACTATACTATAGACTAGACTATTGACTAGACTATAGACTAGACTATAGACTAGACTATAGACTAGACTATAGACTAGACTATAGACTAGACTATAGACTAGACTATAGACTAGACTATAGACTAGACTATAGACTAGACTATAGACTAGACTATAGACTAGACTATAGACTAGACTATAGACTAGACTATAGACTAGACTAGACTATAGACTAGACTAGACTACAGACTAGACTATAGACTAGACTAAAGACTAGACTATAGACTAGACTATAGACTAGACTTTAGACTAGACTATAGACTAGACTATAGACTATACTATAGACTAGACTATAGACTAGACTTTAGACTAGACTATAGACTAGACTATAGACTATACTATAGACTAGACTATAGACTAGACTATAGACTAGACTATAGACTAGACTATAGACTAGACTATAGACTAGACTGTAGACTAGACTATAGACTAGACTATAGACTAGACTATAGACTAGACTATAGACTAGACTATAGACTAGACTATAGACTAGACTATAGACTAGACTAGACTAGACTAGACTAGACTAGACTATAGACTAGACTAGACTAGACTACAGACTAGACTATAGACTAGACTAAAGACTAGACTATAGACTAGACTATAGACTAGACTTTAGACTAGACTATAGACTAGACTATCGACTATACTATAGACTAGACTATAGACTAGACTATAGACTAGACTATAGACTAGACTATAGACTATACTATAGACTAGACTATAGACTAGACTATAGACTAGACTATAGACTAGACTATAGACTAGACTATAGACTAGACTGTAGACTAGACTATAGACTAGACTATAGACTAGACTATAGACTAGACTATAGACTAGACTATAGACTAGACTATAGACTAGACTATAGACTAGACTATAGACTAGACTATAGACTAGACTATAGACTAGACTATAGACTAGACTATAGACTAGACTATAGACTAGACTATAGACTAGACTTAGACTAGACTATTGACTAGACTATTGACTAGACTATAGACTAGCCTATAGACTAGACTATAGACTAGACTATAGACTAGACTATTGACTAGACTATTGACTAGACTATAGACTAGCCTATAGACTAGGCTATAGACTAGACTATAGACTAGACTATTGACTAGACTATAGACTAGACTATAGACTAGACTATAGACTAGACTATTGACTAGACTATAGACTAGACTATAGACTAAACTATAAAATAAAGGATAGACTAATCTATAGAGGTATTTTTTGAAATTTAAAGTAGTGAAAAAAGTACTAAAGTTCAGATTTTCTATATCTGATCTGACATATTTTTTGATATTGACAGCTGATTGTTGTGACAGCTCCCTATAGCTTGATTGTAACATTTCCTCAGAAAGAAAACTATAAAATTTTTTAAAAACTTTCTTTTTTTTACACTTTGTAAGACTTCTTGTTAAACTCCCAGAGCGTGGGAGTTTTTCTTTTTCTTAGTTTTAAATCAAATATACTCACATTCTTTTGTATCGTATCGAATGTAACCGTACGTGAACTCATGCTTGATTGACCATATTCCTCTTGTACGGAATATTTCACTGAAGCTCTAACAATGTCATCAAGTTTGTCTTTGTTGTGGAAGGCCCAAGCGCCAGCAGCTATCTGAGCTACCATCACCACCAAAGTTACACAGAAAAACTAAACAAGATCAAATAGAAAGATTAAAAAAATATTAAACTTACAACAAAACAAACAAAATTTCAATAAATGCAACTCAATTTTAATAAAAATGTAGGCGTTAAAAACCTAATAAACCAAATTTTTAAATTATTTAAAATTTTTTCACTAAATATGTATGTAGGCGTTAGTTAGTTTTCGCTTTCTTACCGACACCAGCAGACACTGTGATTCCTTCAATACACCACAACAGCCGAAAAATGCCCCAATTGTTATTAAAACTCCAATACCCAAAACACATACAAAGCAATGTAATAATGATTGTAGGATTGTGTCATTGACAGTACAAATGTTGGATCTGTCAGCATCCAGGCCGAGGCGATAACAACTGTTAAACCAATGAT